AGCTAGGTCACAATAAAATCTTGGGTGAAAGAGCTAGGTCACAATAAAATCTTGGGTGAAAGAGCTAGGTCACAATAAAATCTTCTTGGATGAAAAGACTAGGTCACAATAAAATATTACTGGATAAAAGGACTAGGTCACAATAAAATCTTATTGGATGAAAAGACTAGGTCACAATAAAATCTTATTGGATGAAAGAACTAGGTCACAATAAAATATTACTGGATAAAAGGACTAGGTCACAATAAAATCTTATTGGATAAAAGGACTAGGTCACAATAAAATCTTATTGGATAAAAGGACTAGGTCACAATAAAATCTCAATGCTATAAGGAGTAGGGTTGTTACAGATATTTAGTTATTATTCATTATCCAGTCAAGTTTATGATATTTTAATATCTATTCAGCAGCCAAAGAATTGACGTTTTCATATCATTTATAAAGAATAGCAAACAATAAGACAACCTATAGCCTATAGGTACAATGAAGTAAGAAGTTATACAAAATTAACACAGAGAAAGTTAATCAACACTTTATAAATAGAGAGTAGGAACAGCACTGATAAGTTTGAACAGTATAATATATAATGTACTGTTTCACTGTTTAAATCTGTTGCTCTACAGAAAATGCTATTTTAAGATAAACATTCAACAATGTAACTGAGATGAAATTTTGATTGCTTTATAATACAGCTTATCTAGTTTCAAGCTCTTTTATGAAGAATGCTTTCACTGGTCCCAGTCTAAAGTTTCTTGTGTTGTTCTTTCACCCCAGTCCAAAGTGTCTTGTGTTGTTCTTTCACCCCAGTATAAAGTGTCTTGTGTTGTTCTTTCACCCCAGTCCAAAGTGCCTTGTATTGTTCTTTCACCCCAGTCCAAAGCGTCTTGTATTGTTCTTTCACTCCCAGTCCAAAGTGTCTTGTATTGTTCTTTCACCCCAGTCCAAAGTGTCTTGTGTTGTTCTTTCACCCAAGTCCAGTGTCTTGTATTGTTCTTTCACCCCAGTCCAAAGTGTCTTGTGTTGTTCTTTCACCCAAGTCCAAAGTGTCTTGTGTTGTTCTTTCACCCCAGTCCAAAGTGTCTTGTGTTGTTCTTTCATAGACACAAATGAAGAATAGATACAGCTTGGAAAAGTTTTGAAATTACCCAGTCTGTGAAGCCAACTTTACATAATACTCCACTTTTGTTCTAAAAGCCTTTCAAGTAACTATTAGGTTATATTACATCTTTTACTAGTTTCTTTTGAGGTATATTTAAATAATTTTACACTCATTAATTTTAAATCTGACTGTTATGAAATCAACTAAGCTCGGTGAGATTCCACAGCATTCTTGATAAAAAGTTGTATTTTGTGGAAATAGGACTCTCCTGTTAAACCAGCATAATTATAACCTTTACACAATATTTGCTCTATTATTTCTAATAAGGGTGTGGATATTTTCCTTTTCAATTTTGATATATTAATTAGCTATTACATTTTTTTTCCTATTTCATTACCAGTATGACTTCCATATTCTGTGATCCAGTGTCCTGTGAAGTTAATGAAATTACTGTTTCTTTTTGACCTATAGATGATATACATTGCATTTTAAATCATTCGTGATAATCAATGAATGCAGGTTATCACTGACTCACTCTTCACATCACTGATAGCAGTCATCAACTAAATCAATATCTCGGAGACTAATGTGTGCAATGGCAATGAAAGGTCTTAGATCTTGAGTATTGATAAAAATATGACAAGCTACTGCAGTCAACCATCTTTCATTAATATCTGAGACTATTGTTTCAAAAAGTAAGTTTCACTTTGTAACTTATGTTGTATTTCTGCTTTCTTCATCAACCAAAACAAATTCCTCATCAGTGATTGCCTATCCAATGCAATCATTTCATTGATTGCATAGTTTAACTACTTACCATAATGATCACTTCCATCCCACAGTTTCTAATTCAAGATTATTATTAAATTTCCTGCATCAAATGTACTAAATTCAGACAGTAGAAATCTTGACCACATCTCTACTGTGAAATGGGTTGCTTTGAACAAGAAGTGATGTAACTGTTTTGCCATTTCTGCCAAGTTTCTTGACTCGACTGCTACACTTCCTCACTTGTGATTCACTTCTCCTGTCTTACAATAATTTTCTTAGAGAATGAGCATTACTGAGAATCCTTGGAGAGATTTTTTTTATTTTGGCAAATTTGCATATGTTTTCAAGAGAGAAAAAGACTGAGGACTTATTTCTGTAAAATAACCTGCAAAACTTTTAAGGTAAGACATTTAAAATGCATTACAAGAGCTTTGAAAAGAAAGCCCATTACGGACTGATAGTTCCCTTTTACTTGTAGACTTTCACTGCATCTGTTGGTCTTTCACCAAAGGCAGAGTTAGGTATGCAATCTGCCACTCAAAAAAAAAAAAGTGTAAAATTGCACATTTATTCAATTTTAGGTGCCGACCAGAATATGAATATTGTAACAAATTTGTTATTATATATTTATTTTAATATCAACGTTTGTTTAGATTAAATTTATATTTAGAAACATACATAGCTTATACTGTTCAATATGTATTGTGAAACTCCCGCCTATTTTCCAAATTTGTAGTAGATTCTTGAGAGTAAGAATCAACAATATATGTGTGTACATAAACACTTAAATTTGTATTGTTACGTAATCTGATTTTCCTAGAAAGCTTATGCAGCCTATAAATATAACCAATATGACATGCCAAAAGAGTAGAGTCTATTATTAGTTCACTATAGTCAGTGTGCTATAAACTTTGGAAACTATAACTGTGATTATTATAATGCTTATCAATTGGAAAACTTCAGATATTTGACCAGGAGTGTTTACAAAGTTCTAACATTACAAATCATTTAACTTCAGTGGATTCTCATTGGACATTAGTATTTTTACTAAAACATTACCTAATGTCACTGGTAGGAAAATATCGGTGTGTGTGGCTGGTAAACAATGAAGGACAAAGCTAGTTAGCTTCCCATTAAGTGAATTATACCTACGTCAACTCATAATCAACTCGCTTATCAGATGTCGAAGAAGTTCCAGACTAAAAGGAAGACTTTATTTTGCTTGTAAGTTTGTGAAACTTTTGTTTATAAATCATTGTTTGTGAAACTTTTGTTTATAAATCATTGTTTGTAATTACTATTATTGTAAACTGTATTGTTGTGTGTATATTAAAACATATTTGTATAAAAGAAAACTGTGTGTATCAATCTTGTTGGCAAATATCGTAAACTGACTATATATCGGCATACATTTAAATACTAAATCCAAAGTACAATTTAACTACTAAATTTAAATTAGTAGTTAACTGAATTTCAGCCCATTTGAAATTCTAATGCATAACAGTATTCACTTGGAATTACATGATCCTTTGATAAAGTGTTGTTAGCACACTCTTTCTGTACTATGTAATTTACTTTTTTCCAGAAATTTAATATTTTCTTTTTTCACACTTATTCATATGTCTCACATAAACTGTTTGTTTAAATAAATATATCAACTATTTGGTTGCCAAATATTTGCAAAAACACTATCTATTACATATCTAGTAAATTGTTTCAATAAAATCTTAATATAATTTACGACATAACATTAAACTACTTAATAGAATACAGACATAAGAATATTTATAGAACTAAACAATGAGCAAGTCTACTGTGTAAAGACGGAGCTAATAGTGTTGTATCCAATTTGTACGTAAACCGAGAAGGTAAAATTATGAGGAGGAAAACTGAGTGCCAAGCTCAGATTTGACATTCAGTTTAGTGAGGTAATTAGCTTTTATAAAAATAATAAACAAAATTTAATGCAATCACACTGAGTTACCATCTTTCATACCATTTTCTACATTTGTACATCTATAAATAGCACAGTATACTGTAGCCTCACATGCACTGTGACTTTAAAACTTATTTTTAAGCTGATGGCTCAATAAAGTACTAAAACATTACATTAAGAGGTCTGTGAAAGCACAACTTACCTTCAGTTTCCTTTCTTTCCTTGCCAGCTCTTTCTTTAAAACTTCCAGCTGTTTTGATAACTGAAATCAAAGATTAAAATGTTTCGAAACTGTCTTCAGTATTAAAACACATTCAGTGATGGGTCATTTTATTACTACACTGCATAAAAAAACATTGGTGTGTAATCTCACAACATGAACCAGTTTAGAGAGAAAAGAAATTCCATTTTCTCACACTACGACACTTACAAAAATCATGCTTGAAAAGCTTTATAAATGTTAACCTTTGAGAAAATATATGTCAATAATGAACCCATCCTTTACCTACCTCTTGAGAGCCAGAATACTCTGCCATGGTTGTTCTTAAGCTTATCAGTTTATGCCTAAATATGGATGTAAGAAAAGTCTTTTAGTATACAGTATACATATTTTACGGGGATCTTTGATGTCTCACCATTATAGAGTAGCATCAGTCTTTTTTACCAAAAACATATTTAATGAACAAAAGTATTTAAACACAGAAGATGTTTAACTCAACACCACACTATTACACCTGAAAATCCTGACTTCACCACCACTAAGCTTCAATCTGCAGAGATGTTTACATGTGACAAAGCTAGCTCACACTGGTAATATTAGTTTACATAAATAATAAATCAGTAGTAGTATCTTCAACTACTCATAAGTTCTGAACCAAACAACATTTCTTGGTCATACAGATGTCTATAGACAAATGTTTATACTACTGATATATCCATAAATCATGAGAATATTTTTATTTGAATAAACTAATCAGAAGGTTTAAATGGTAGACTGGTAATAGCAGTAGTGAATGATTAAATTTTCCTCACTCTATTGGTGTCTAGATAGGATACTGGAAACTGCTTCACAAAGATAGAATTTTACTGAAAGCGTTTCAATAAAAAAAGGCTAATTTGATCATTTTTATAATAAACCAAAACCCAATAATCACATTCTTCCAAGAGGAAAGTTGCCGATTTATCACCATCTTTTGTTTTCTACTTTTTATCTATTTTAAACTATTTTCATTAACCTATTGTGTGGCACTTCTTGAAGACACATAATAATATCAGTTCCCTCATTCAAAACTACAATATTTCTTTTTATTTCAACTTTTATGTGCTTGACTTCTGACATTAAATACTAAAGCATAGCTTTAAACAGATTAAAGTAATAAGCATGAATTTGCCTGTTAACTTTCAAAATAGATTACTCATTTCCCCAAAAGGGGGCCAAAGGCTGCCTGGAGGGATCACCTGTTTTAATCAGTCGCACCATTATTTAGTAGTGTGTTATCTATCAGTCAATCAGTAGACACTAAAGTGATGCCACATAAGGGGCATCTAACTTTGCAATTTGTACTGTCGTTATGTCAGTAAAACGTGTGCATGCCTTGAATCATGAGAAGAATTAAACACTCTGTAGGCTACAACACAGCATGACATATGAACTTCAAAAGCAAGAAATAAAAATATATATTACTTTTAATTTTCGTTTTATTCACTCTTGAAATAGAACAATTTTGGGGACCCTGCAGAAGTACATCTGGTACATAACTACCTGCTCATAAAAACATAACACTATTAAACTAAGCATACTCTTTCTGAAACTAAAATTATTAGTACCACACTTTTGAAGAATACCACTAAAACTATTAATATCCCACTTTTTAAGAATATCACTGAAACTATTAGTACCCCCACTTTTTGAGAATACCACTGAAACTATTAGTATCCCCCACTTTTCAAAAATATGACTGACACTATTAGTACCCCCACTTTTCAAAAATACCACTGACACTGTTAGTACCCCCACTTTCAAAGAATACCACTGAAACTATTAGTACCCCCACTTTTCAAAAATACCACCGACACTGTTAGTACCTCACTTTTAAAAATACCATTGTCACTATTAGTACCCCACTTTTGAAGAATACCACTGTCACTATTAGTATCCCACTTTTGAAAAATACCACTGTCACTTAAAGTTCTGCTTTATTCAGCACACCTGAACTGCTAATACTACAAATGCTTTGGGTATCAGTACAAAAATAGTTCAAACTATGAATAATGTAGTATTTCCACCCAGTAACTACTAACTTATTGAGTATTATTCTGGAATACTGTGTCTTGAATTACTACTTTTTCTTGCAGTAAACACTCTTATAAAGTAAGCAACAACTTTAATATTTTGGAGATAAAAATAGTGGTTTTTAAGTAGTACTCTAATCAATTTCAGATGCAGACAGATTTTTCTCATTCCAGTAACATGTTGTATATTATAATTAAAAGATTCTGTTACTAAGTGAAGGGCAGTTTTATATCTTAAGTCATCTGGTGGTGATGACTTCCCAGTTTTATATATAGAAACAACCCTGCCACTTCTTATTCATTTCTAAAAAGGATCTTGCTTACATTAATCATTAATGTTGGTACTAAACATAAAACCCAAAGTACTAAAACAGTAGATACATTCGAAAAGTGTTCCAAAACTGTTTATGTAGAAAACATAAAACTCAAAACTTACTATCTGAAGACTTACCTCATTTAACCAAACATAAGGTTCTTTTCTATAAAAAACAATATTAAAAACCTCTGAAAAAAGTTTAAAAACTTACTTTATCCAATGATTATCACTAATCTAAAGATAGCATTGTGACAACAGCCTTAACCAATAAAAATCATTCAAGAATTATGAGAATACTCATACTTAGCCATCACACCAAGTGACAGTGTCCACATTTAGCTACCACATCCAGCAAGTGTTCACGTTTAGCTATCATACCCAGCAAGTGTTCACATTTAGCTATCATACCCAGCAAGTGTTCGCATTTAGCTATCATACCCAGCAAGTGTTCGCATTTAGCTACCACACCCAGCAAGTGTTCGCGTTTAGCTATCACATCCAGCAAGTGTTTGCATTTAGCTACCACATCCACCAAGTGTTCATGTTTAGCTATCACACCTAGTGACACTGTTCACATTTAGCCATCACATCCAGTAACAGTGTTCACATTTAGCCATCACACCCAGTAACAGTGTTCATATTTAGCCATCACACCCAGTGACAGTGTTCATATTTAACCATCACACCCAGTGACAGTGTTCATATTTAGCCATCACACCCAGTGACAGTGTTCATATTTAACCATCACACCCAGTGACAGTATGTACATTTTGCCAATACACATATAGAATCTTAATGTAAATGTCAAGTCCTGGGTTATCTTGAATTAGTACAATACAAAAAATTAATATTATTCATCCACCTGTCAACAGACAAAAAAAAAAAAAGACTATTGACACCACATCTACATACAGATTATTTGTAACAAATGTACCTTTAGTGAAAATAATGTCAGTTCAGATCAGTGCACACTTCTCAAATGAAATATTTGGAGGGGGTCAACATTAAAACAGGACCAATAATAAAATGAATAAAACCAAATTATATAAAGGAATAAAAATTCAAACTTTATTCAGTGTGAACAGAATTTTACATCAAGGTCCACATTTCTCAAAAAGCCAATGAGTGACGGTAGCCCACTTCTAATCAGTAAATAGTGTTAACAATTATTTTCTACTATCTACATTCTAGTCTAATGCCAAGTGTCAACATAATGGTTTATAAAATCACACAATTGTGTCAACAGAAAAACTATAGGATAAGTCCCATCACTGAAAAGTATTAAGTCCCAAGCAAAATAGTAGTAGACTTCTTTGATGTTTTTTTGTAGCTAGGTGCTGCACTTCTTGTACACTATGGCTCTTGTAGCTTGTGAATCTCCAAAAAGCTATTGGAGCCTATGAATATGTCCTAATGCAATATATTAATAATAGCCACCAAAAGATTTAATATATATATGCAATTTTAATTTTCGTGCACAGTAGTTAGTACATGACTTTCCAGAAATCAGACCTACCAAAATTAAATCATATGAACAACATTCAGAATATGCTAATGTCTTGATGAGTTTGAATAGTTTTAAATAAGAATGAAAATAACCAGAGTCAAAATAGAAGCCAAATAAACCTACCTCAGTAACTGTTAATACTAAAGTAATTATATTAGTTATTGATTAAAATTTAAACTTCTGTGAAGAAAAGCTTCCTATTTTTTTCTTAACCTTTCTTGTACGGCCTCTGGTACAGATGGAATAAATATGAACTTGTAACGATGTAGTGTAGTGGACTACTACTCAGTTTTACTAGAAACAACTTAGCACTATCTTTAGTATACAACTCTGTGATACTATTTGAAGTTTTACTTTTATTACTTGTACTGTTGAAATAGTACTAGAGTAGAAGTACATCTACTATTACTAGTATTAATAACTTGATTAATAATAATACTAATAGTGGTAGTATCACTATCACCGAGTATCAGTATTACTATTAAGAATGATATTTCAGACTTTAATTCTTAGTATCAATAGTTTGAGAGAAAATATATTTCTGTCAGTGCAACGGTAAGTATAATTTTCATAGTTCTGCTGGTATATTTATTTTTAATGTGTAGTAGTATTTACAAGTTACATTGTTAGTGTTACACTTACAACCATAGCTTAGTCTAGCCTCTAGGTAGGCTAATCCAACTTCAGTTGCTCACTGAATTAAGCTTACCAAATAAAAACCCATGATGGTAAGTAAGTCAAATATCATTGCAGAAGTGTTGTAATCATCAAATTAGGGAAGATGTCATAAAAGTAGAAAGCCTATTATTTCCAAGTAATATCAACTATACGTAAGTTGCGTAATTCTTTCCAACCTTAAATTGTAATTTACATAGTTTCCCGCTGTTGATCTCAGCGCCATCACATAAATCCTATATGACTGATTCTTTGGTGATTTTATGAAATACTTTAATAAATATTAATTAGTACGAGCTGATAATATAAAGAAAACAAGTTATTGTAACAACCTGATTTGAACATAATACGACTAATACTGAAACATAAGTCTTACATTAGAAATAGAGTTAAAACAAATAATATAACTTTTATATATGTAAATAGATATGCTCCAGCATGCTCAAATCTATTAGTAAGGCACGAAAACAATGTTATAAAGCATGAATTATTCTGTCCGTTTGTCAGTAACCACAAAGTGACACACTGGTCTATCAGTACTCGAGCCGTGAGCATCGAAACCCTATTTTTCACAATAAGCTATCAGACTTACCTCTGAGTCACCGAGGGAACAGCCACGAATTCAAACATTGTTAATGGATGACGTTAAGATCAGATAGACATAAAAAGTCCTAGGGGACTTGACATCAAACTTTCTAGTACATTTATGGGCACATTATAAATAGGAGGTCAGAAAATCATCGAAGAGAGAGTTAATTAAAAAGATAATAGAGTGAATCGGTCAGAGTGTGTTTTCGTTTCAGCCAGAACTTGTTTTCAGTCGAGAAATACAAATAATTTGAAAGAACCTGCCAATGAAAGAACAGTGTTGCAACAAATGTTAATATAAAGGATCTAACAGCGAATGCCTACGGTCTTTTAACACTAGAATTCAAATTTCTAGGTACTTGTTTTATCTTTTTTAATGTTACTTGTAACATTTCATCAGTTTTATAAAAGCAAAATAATAATAATATTGTACAATGAAAATAATACAGTAGTAGGGGGAAGAAAACTCGTGCTGCGCATACAAAACACTTTTTTGTTGTTGTGATATTTTTATTTCAATGCACAAAGTTTATAAACTCTAAAGACAGAGCTGTATATTTAAAGTAGTTAGAACAGTTGAGTGGTCTGCATAGAGTATTCGCATAATAGGTTAAGTACATAGAGTTCTGAACCAACCTGATGGACGTGCAGGGCATCTCAATAAATGTGAGGTTAAACTTAAATGGGTTAAGCCTATTGCACAACAAGTGATATCTACCAAACACTTCTAGTACAACAGGCACTTTGACCTAAATAGTGTGATCAAAAATAACAAACCTATCAACTTATCTAGTAAGAAGTATCAGATATCTGAGATGGGCCCCCAGTGGCACAGTGGTGTCTGCGGAGTTACAACGCTAGAAACCGGGTTTCGATACCCGTCGTGGTTAGAGCACAGATAGCCCATTGTGTAACTTTGTGCTTAATTACAAATAAACAATAAAATCTGAGATGGGTCTCAGAGGGATGAAAGATTCATTTTTCAAATATATTTCCCTTTGCAATCTACACTAACCCCTTTCTTACGTGTGTGATGACGTCATCCGTATTTCCCTACTCCTAATTTCATTTTTGCATAGTTTAATTAAGCTTTAAAACCTTCCCACGCACGTTACCCTTTTAATTATATAGATGAAGTAATCATTTAATGTCTTTAACAGCAGTTTATTATCAATCTCTTATTTTAGCCAATGATATTGTTTAACAGTTATTAGAAGATATCATTGCATTCCAAATCTTCTGCTCAATAACAAACCTTCGATATCATAAAGTTATAGCTTGGCTCATCAGAAACTATAATCTTTAACAAATGTGAAAACCGAAACGTTTGGCAATAAGAGACCCCACCCTTTTGTTTTCATCTAAACCTATGGTTTGTATGTAATTATTTTTAACTCCAAGGTAAACACATAGTTCACAATAATAATAAAATTGATTTATAAACATTGTACAATGGAGTCTCTGCATAGAATTTTCACTTTTTAAAACGATATGGTAACTGGGTACATTATATTATATTCAATATGCTAATGGTTATGGTTTTTAAAGTGACAGTATTTTGCTAATAACTGACTCCTTTTTTTTTTTTTTTTTATTAAGTTAGTATTTCTTTTTTTCGTCCTTCCCTACTAGTTTATTACGTATAAGTAGTGGAGGTACTTAATAACTAACTAAACTT